CCTGCTTCAACACCATGTAAACCACATAACTCATTGTTAGTGACAGAATGAATTCCTCTCAGTGATCCTACATTTTATAGAAGTATATGTAGACATCAAAATTTCAGTGAAATAAATGTTAACCAAGGTATTAAAATTACAACATTTATTTATTTCACCTACATCATACACTCATTTCACCTACAACTTCCATTTACTTCACCAACCTCACACACTTACTTCACCCTACCAACTCCCTTTACTTCACATACAACATCCACTCACTTCACCAAAAAAATGGATGGTGGTGATTCACTCTCAAAGCCTATAAATAGGCTTCTCCATTAAGAGGAAAAAACACCAATTCACAAACCGACAAACCAATTCACAAACCAACACCAAAAACACAGACAACAAAAACCAATTCACAAATACATTTCTCTACTCCCAAAATGGAAGAGAATACTCCCCACATCCAAAATCCTTGAAGCTTTGAAACTCTAAAGCTCTCAAGCATCCAACCCCCAAATTCCCAAGAATCCCGAAGAATGGAGAAAGCACTCTTCATTCTTCGTCAAATCCTCCTTCAAGATCAAGGCTCGACGGCCCTTGAAGAACTTCCACCAACTCAAGATCAAGCCCCGACGGCCCTTGAAGAAAGTGTTCATCATTCATCCTAAGATCAAGCCCCAACGGCCCTTTGGATCAACAGCACAAACAAATCCACACATCCAATCGTTCTTCAAGATTAAGCCCAAAAGCCCTTGAAGATCTGCTCATCCATTAACCTTCAAGATCAAGCCCAAAAGCCCTTGAAGAAATCCACACAACCATTATTCAAGATCAAGCCCCGATGACCCTTGAAGAAAGTGTTCATCATTCATCATCCGTTCATCCTAAGATCAAGCCCCAACGGCCCTTTGGATCAACAACCTCAACAAACCCATACACCTATTCTTCAAGATCAAGCCCAACGCCCCTTGAAGATCCATTCATCAACTGTTCATTCAAGATCAAGCCTCGACGGCCCTTGAAGAAAACCAACCGTTCTTCAAGATCAAGCCCAAAAGCCCTTGAAGAAACTTCCATCAACCTTCAAGATCAAAGCCACGAAGGCCCTTGAAGAAAGTGTTCATCATTCATCATCCGTTCATCCTAAGATCAAGCCCCAACGATCCTTTGGATCAACAACATCAACAAATATACACACCAAAACCTTGAAGCCTTAAAGTTCTAAAGCTCTCAAGAAAATCCCGAAGGATCAAGAAAGCACTCTTCGTTCTTCGTCAAATCCATCAATCTTCAAGATCAAGCCCAAAAGCCCTTGAAGAAGTCCACACAACCATTATTCAAGATCAAGCCCAAAAGCCCCCTTGAAGAACTTCCACCAACTCAAGATCAAGCCTCGACGGCCCTTGAAGAAAGTGTTCATCATTCATCATTCGTTCATCCTAAGATCAAGCCCCAACGACCCTTTTGGATCAACAACCTCAACAAATCCACACATCCAATCGTTCTTCAAGATTAAGCCCAAAAGCCCTTGAAGATCCGCTCATCCATCAACATTCAAGATCAAGCCCAAAAGCCCTTGAAGAAATCCACACAACCATTATTCAAGATCAAGCCCCGACGGCCCTTGAAGAAAGTGTTCATCATTCATCATCCGTTCATCCTAAGATCAAGCCCCAACGGCCCCTTGGATCAACAAACAAATCCACACATCTATTCTTCAAGATCAAGCCCAAAAGCCCTTGAAGAAAACCAACTGTTCATTCAAGATCAAGCCTCGACAGCCCTTGAAGAAAACCAACCGTTCTTCAAGATCAAGCCCTGAAGGCCCTTGAAGAAACTTCCATCAACCTTCAAGATCAAAGCCACGAAGGCCCTTGAAGAAACTTACAACTGTTCATCCAAGATCAAGCCTCGACGGCCCTTGGATCAACAAATCTACATCTTACGGAGATCGAATCAGATGACCAAATTTGAGAGATCGTAACCCCAAAATCATTAAACACAAAAATATTATTTTGTACACGTATTCTTGTTTCTTGTTTTTCAGGAAATTTTCGTGTTCACAGTATAGTTGGATCCTTGCAATATTTGACCTTCACTAGGTCAGATATAGCATTTGCAATAAATTCAGTATGTCAATTTATGAAAACACCAACTGATATTCATCTTGGGGCTGTGAAACGAATACTGAGATATCTTCAAGGAACATTGAAGTATGGTATTGTGTATTCATTAGATGCAAACACAACTCTTAATACTTTCTTAAACTTAGATTAGGCTGCATACTTGAATACTCGAAGATCTATGACTGGATATATTGTTTTCTTTAGCAACAATCCCATATCTTGGCAGTCAAAGAAACAAAGTTCGGTTTCCAGGAGTTCTACAGAAGCAAAATATAAAGCATTGGCTCACACTGCTGCTGATATAGCCTGGATCAGGTATATTTTGAAGGATTTGGAATTATTTTTGCCTACATCTCCAGTCATTCATTGTGACAATATGTCTGCGATAGCATTGAGTGCAAATCCGATGTTTCATTCTCGAATTTAGCACTTGGATACCGATTACCACTTTGTTCGAGATAGAGTGTAGCAAAGTGACTTGGAAGTTAGCTACATTCCTATTAAAGATCAATCTGCTGACATACTAACCAAGGGGTTACATGGTCCTTCATTTGTCAAGCACTGTTACAATCTTAAACTTGGCAACCCAAGTTAAGATTGAGGGGGGATATTGCCCAGTATTGATTGAATGGTAGTACTTTCTAAAGATTAGATGTGTTGATATGGCAAAAAAATTAGTAAGGTTGTTAGCTAGCTGATGTGGTAGTTAGTTAGAATTGTTGCAGCTATTAGTTAGAGTTGGTGGTGCTAATAGCTTAGAGCGCAATGCAGTTATTGAGCTATATATAAGTGTGTAAACTGTCATTGTAATTCACCCGGTGAAATATTATGAAATTCGTAACTCTCTTTCTCTCTCTGCAACTGCATTCCTTTCTTTCATTCTTCTACAATCCATTAGTTCTTACAGTACTGTTATCAGATATGACATAAATGAGAACGACACACATTTCTTACCATCATTCTCGTACATAAAAATGCTCTCACTTTTCAAGCCTTATAATAATCATTCTAGGATCTGAGTTGGAATTCTTTAATATACGATTTCACGAACTATTACAATACCTTATTTTGTATTTTATTTAAAGATAAAAAAATATTATAATCAGATCCTCTACAAATCATATTACGATACAAATCAAATAATAGAAACTATTTTTGGGAGAAAAATTACAAAACCAAATACAAGATTGATTGTAATCAAGAACACTCAAGTGCTAACTCAATTAATAAAACGCTAGCCACTCTTCTAGGCTTGCCTCACTGTGTTTCGCATAGTCTAAAGGAATCATTATTTTAGTTTATCATTGAAAGATCAACTTTGCAAAAAATCACTAAAATCAGTAAATGTTTAACCCAATTTTGACTTGATAAATAGACGAACACAATATTGTCGACAAATATTGAAATGTTCAAAATAATAATTAGACGACTAAACAATTTCAAATTTGAGTGAATTTTTATAGGTATGATCTAAAAATGATGATCTAAAATGAATGGTTCAACTCTTGAAATTACTTTATAAAGTGTGCCTAAATAAGTGGTTAGTTAAGTTAATGAATGATTAGCAAAACCGTCATATAAATGTGATTAATCGTACTTGAAATTTTGTATGATCTAAGAATGATGATCTAAAATAAATGGTTAAGATCATGAATTACTTTATAAAGTGTGCCTAAATAAGTGGTTAGTTAAGTTATTGAATGATTAGCGTTTGAGGTGCTAAATTAGCAAATCAGTCATATGAATGTGATTAATTGTACTTGAAATATTGTTTTGGTTACTTTGTAATTTTTAGCATGCAAAAGTAGTTTAAAACGAAAATATTTCTCCCATACACATAAAAATCCCATCCATCATCCATGCTTGGTTTTGGTGGCTGGAAATTCTGGCCTCTCGCAGTCGCAGGTACAATTCTTCTGGTACGAAGGATACAATGAGACAGTAAGACGGTACTCCCAACTTCACCAACTCATGTTCTCGAAACGACAAAACTGCCCCTGGTCCCTTCTTAAACGTTCATACATTGCTTTCTTTATCCTCACCTGTCACCATTCCATTTACAAACCATCCACAATTTTCCACCTGTCCTTCCAAATGTAACTGACGTCATTCATGCCGAAATATTACTGTATTTATGTGACATAATTATACTCATATACATGATCTATCTACCTGTATTATATCATTTGTGGTGTATTGCATATCGGTTCACCAATTAGGGTTTACCTTGATGCAGTGATGCTCTCATTAGCCAACTTACGTTGTGTATGTCTAGCACACGACTAACTTTTTCATGTATTAAAAATACGGTCACATGACGTTAATATTTCATTCTAATTACAACAAATAAACTTAATATTTATTAATATATCATAAAGGGGTAATATATCAATGTTATAGTCTACCCTCATTATATAGCATATTCAGGATACACTATGTGCTAGCACCCATAAAAAAAATTTCCAAATGCACAATTATTTCTTCTCTTTTTTGCATAATTTTCTTTTCTTTGTTTTTTCGGCAAAAGCAAAAGAAAAGGAAAAAAAAAAAAAAAGTAATGAATAAGACGTTAGTGGGGATGTTGCGACGTTAACGTTTAGTGCTCTTTGGGAAAATAATGAATATTTTAAGGTGGACAGACGGCTTATGGGTTCCTGCAAACTTGTGCTTAAAAAGCCTCTGAGAAATTTTGTGACAAATGATCAGTGGGAGTGTTGAATTGCCAGGGTCCTCCCAACCCAACCCAGACAACCCAATTCGTCATCTTCCTCCATTAATTCCCACATTTGAAGAAATTAATCAAGATTAATTTGTTGGGTCGGATTGAATGACTCAAGGCTTTGAAATTTCAAGTTATTGTCTATAACGTAATTAAAGTCATCCTCTTTTTTTTTTTTTTTTTTTTTTTTTTCTTGCGAGGAGTTTATATCGTATAATATTACAGCCGCAATTATCTACTTCCCTCCCCAACTTTTTACTGATCTTTATCCACTTCTTGTGGTTATTTAAAGTGTAAGCTTTTCATGTTTTCATGCGTCTTCTTTGCTTTTTGATGTTTCTTCTGGTTTTTGTGGAGGCTTCTACTTCACCATGCAAATCGTTTCCAAGTTTTGAAGGTTCCCAATCATCCAACTTTCTGATACTGTAGTTAACTTAGAAGTTGAGGACAATTTCAAGTTATAATTTGTTTGGATTTTGCTTGTTACCTTATGTGTTTTCAATTTCTGAATTTTCAGGCCATTTTGTAGTCAAGTTTGTCTGTTTAGCGTACCGCAGTTATGTTTTTGATTAAAAGTTTGTAACCGATTCTGTCTGCGCATACCTATGGGCCATATTTATTGGTCTTATTCATGGAGCTGTGAATTTGCAGCAGAGTGGTTATGAAATCTCTTTGTTTACTTGTTTCGTTTGTTGAATTTGTTGATAGAGTATGAGCTATTCATCAACTCAATTTGCCACCTCAAGACAAATGGGGATATACGAGCCATTCCGCCAAATTGGTGTGTGGAAAGAAACCTTCAGAGGTGATCACACCTCTAACACAGCTGCTTCCACAATTCTAGAAGAGGATTCTGGTATCGAAAACAAGGTGAAACCGAAAAACCAATCTTTTGTTCCCTTTTTCTTCAATGTTAGATTCACTTTATTTGTTCTGATTGATGAACTTAAATTAATTTTCTGATTTTGCTTCTTCTAGATTGGATTTGTTTCTCATGAACCCATGCTGCCTTCCGGAAACGGAAATGATCACGAACCGAGCAGATCTGCTGATAAGGTGATATAGCTTTGCTCTCCCTACTGTCTGTCTGTCTTTCTTTCTTTCCAAGCAAGGCAACATATTTGTGTCATGTTTTTGTTATTTATTCATTTATCTCATCAATTATAAAGAAGATCGTACTATCATCGATGCAATTTTTGTTTTTTGTATTCATTTTCGTGTAAGTTGATTATGAAGTGCACATATACACAGGTGCAGCGACGGTTAGAACAAAATCGTGAAGCTGCACGAAAGAGTCGTATGCGAAAAAAGGTGAGTAGGAATCACATGTCTTGATTTATTGGTCTATTTCATTGCTACAACTTGTGAAATTATTTGAATGATTTCTTGTACTACCACAGGCTTATGTTCAACAACTCGAAACAAGCCGCTTAAAATTGGCACAGCTGGAACTGGAAATTGACAGAGTTAGAAAACGGGTGAGTTAAAAGAAGAAACTTTTTTCATCTTTGTTCATGTTACCCGATGCATTTCCTTATTAATCAGAATTGAATTAGTATCATTGGATGAACCCGTAACTGCCTGATTTGCAGGGTGCCTATGCAAGCAGTTCATTAGGTACTAGCCATATGGGATACAATGGAGCTTTGAATTCAGGTTTGTGATTCTGAACTCCTTATATTAATGACCTGATCACTATTTTCCTTTTTTTTATTTTTTTGAGAATTTTTAGGTGATTCTCGTAGATTATTGTGATTATAGTTCCATTCTGTAATTCCATCTGCAAATCTTTGCAGAGATCACTACATTTGAGATGGAATATGTACACTGGGTTGAAGAACAACACAGACAAATTGTTGAACTCAAAAATGCACTGCGTGATCATGCAACAGACATAGAACTTCGAAAACTCGTTGACAGTGGCTTGAACCACTATGCCATTCTTTTCCGAATGAAGGCAGATGCTGCAAGGGCTGATATCTTTTACTTACTGTCTGGCATATGGAGAACACCAGTCGAACGCCATTTTCATTGGATTGGTGGATTTCGCCCGTCGGAGCTGCTAAATGTAACGCTGAACTTAGTTCACATTATTTCTGATGAGTTATAGTACAGTTTTTTTATTGTGTAACATGGTGCATATTGTTTCGCTTTTTCAGATTGTGTTGCCACAGCTTCAACCATTGACTGATCAACAACTTCTGGACTTCTATAACCTGCAGCAATCGTCACAGCAAGCGGAGGATGCGCTATCACAGGGAATGGACAAACTGCAGCAGACTCTGGCATTGAGCATAGCAGCTGATCAAATGAGTGAAGGTATTGGGTGTCAGATGACTTCTGCACTTGAGAAGCTTGAAGCACTAGAGAGCTTCGTGAGCCAGGTGACATCAGATTTCAATAATGGTTTTTGCAATTAGTCTCATAAGTGTAGGGGATTTAATAAAATTGCATATTCAACACTAATTATATTTAGATTATGGGTAATATGTACAAATATAATGGTTACTAACTGCATAAGCCGTATATAAACTCACGTTTAGAGCCCCTTGAGTGTATGTTTAGTGTCCCACTGTCCCTTCAGTTCTATTTTTTGGTAAAAGTTTGTAACCGAACCGTTTTCCCTTAAAAATGCCCCAACACAATTTGACTTAGATTCTGCCATATAAGTTCATGAACTTACTGAAGAATTCAAACTTCAATGGGGTGAGAAATTGTTAATAAGCATAAAGCATGAAATACCTTTTGACAGTTGACCCTTTGTTAATTAGTATGCTGAAGTAGAAAGTATGTTTCTCTTGTCCATGGCAGGCAGATCACCTTCGGCAGCAAACGCTGCAGCAAATGTCTCGAATCCTCACAACACACCAAGCAGCGGAAGGCTTGCTTGCACTGGGGGAGTACTTTCACCGGTTACGTGCCCTCAGTTCTCTATGGACTACTCGTCCCCGTAAACCAACATAGTCAGCTGCAACGTATTCTCCGTAGTTATATGTATTCTTTGTTCCATTAGTATGAACTTTTATCTCCCTGTTTCAGAAGGTGTAACCGTGTAAATATGAAGAAGTTCAGTTCATGAGTGTTACCTATTCATGTAGGTTTTCAAGTTAGGTCTCCAATGAATGTAGCATATACTAAGTTTCTCTAAGGGTAGCATATACTAAGTTTGTCGAGTTATTAGATTGTGGCCACAATTGATATATATATTCCTGTATATGGCCTGATGATTCTGAACAATACATCCACATAAGTCATGCATGGAGGACCCGTTGCATCCAACAATTTTCTCTTTCGCGCGGGAAGGGTAAAATAAACACTAAAACAATATGTTGGAATTCCGAGAATGCCAGGTTAAGAGTTGTTGTATCATAGTTTGGTCTCACTACTTAACCTATGTACGAGGTGAGGAAGCCCTTGGTCTTTTTGTTTTTTGGGTCGAAGAGGAAGCCCTTGTTCTATAAAGGGAGGATCATTTTAGGGATGGCCCTTCATAGCCTCTTTTACTCTATCAAGGGCAAGAAGCCTTTATGTCCATTGTAACATATATTTACATAGTGAAACTGGATCTACACCACATGGATGTAGACCCAACTCAGGATGAACCAGAGTATATCTTGTGTATTCTTTTGTTTGTGTGATTTACGGTCAAAACTAAACTGGCTCAAAATTGATGCGAACTTTTTTGTTACAAAAGTTTGAGCACTAGTGATCTTTCTAGTTAACATTTTACTTTTGATGATCGGCATATCGTGAATCGACTAAATCTTAATTATGTAGTGAATTTTTAGTTTTCTCCTATACCTCAAAGTTATTAGAGTTCATTGTTTACAATCATCCATCAATATAAAATAAACACCTACCACTAAATATTATGCAGTTTATTATCACACGAATGTGCTGCTGAAAAATAAATATACGTTGTGTGCGATATGACGAAAATATTCCTATGAAATTCAGGTTTTGAAAAAGACCAAATATTTGCGTTATTTGTTTTGAGGTATTTGTGGCTTCATAAGGACTGTGTTTTTCTTTTTGGGGTCAAACATGTGAGAACTATGCTTTCAAACTACACATATAGTTACCAATTTTTAATCACAAATAGAGCTAAGGATCTAAACAGAGAATAAGTCAAATAAACCAAGATTTGGTGCCGTTTAATGTATCGGTCTAGTTCTAGTGTTGATTAAAAGTTTGTAACCGGAACAGGTTCTATTTGTTTACATTTGCCTTGTAAAAATGCAGCATTTTAATATTAACTATAATTCTGCTATATAACTTCTTGAACTTATTGAACTAAAACATAGATGAGGTAAGAAATTGTTAATAAGCATAAAGCAGGAAATACCTATTCCCATCTAGATTATCGTATTATCAACTACCACTGTGACAATGGACTCCTTGTTACTTTGCTGAACTGTATACGTTGCTCCGGTAGGAAACGTTGCAGAAAATGTCTCAGATCCTAAACGACGGGCACCAAGCAGCTCGAGGCTTGCTTGCACTGAGGGAGGACTTTCACCGGCTACGTGCCCTCGATTCTCCGTGGACCGTTCGCCCCCGTGAACCGACAGTCAGCTATCACCTAGTCCCCATTGATACATATATTACAGAAGCTGTAAATGTGAAGAAGTTTTAGTGCTTGAGTGTCACCAATTCAAAACACACATATAGGTTTTCAAGTCAAATCTCCATTGTCCAATGCTTGTAGCATATACTAGTTTGATTGAAATGGGAGGGATATTAAGTTATTAACACTAAATAAATGTGTAAATTTGTCTGAAATATCAAGGTTTGTTGAGTTATATTTTAACCTCATTTCTTATATTATTGGGAACTTTGCCTGATTATTTTGAACATTAGATACACAATTTTAAGTCTAGCTAAAAGTTCCGCTTTTGAGCTCAAAAATTGAACTCTGAACATGAAATTCCATGCAAGATTAGGAGAAAAACTTAGTTGAAGTTGTTGTACGAAACATTCTTTTGTGTGACGTGAAAAGAGATACGTATACAATTAGTGTATACAACTACAACAGAAAAAAAATTCTTTGAGGGTAGACTTATGTATACATGAAAAATTATATATGAATGTGCATTCTTGGCCAATAGTTTAATAACAATTATCATGTTATTTAGTATTACAATATAGTTGTATTCATCGTCATTGTAAGTGATATGTCTTAAATTCGATTCTCGTCAATGGTATATTTTGAACAAAATTATTATAGCTAACCCAGTGTAGATTGACATAATAAAAGATAATTCGTAAAATACCATAGTTTTGGGGTACTGTGTTTATTTTTGTTTTCACTTTTGGCGGGTGAGTCCAAGATCCTAACTGTCATGCTGCAGGAAGCCTCTGTCCACAAAAATTTCCCGTGAAAAATATAATAAAAGAGGAAAATATAAAAACCAAAATTACAAATTAAAATGAAAAAAAAGGCAAAAAAAAAAAACCCAGATTCTGAAAAATATTCATTATCAGAAGTTCAGAACCTTTCCACTTCCTTGACGCCTTCAACCTTCGCAGCCCAAATTGAAAACCCCAATTTCCATTTCCAATTTGATTGTGTCCAATTCTTTCCAAATTGGTCGGATCTCCGATCTGACAGGCTGAGATATTAGCTGAAGAGAACAAAACAATGAGCAATTTGAGAACCATCTGTCGGCCGCACACGGTCTTCACGTCCTTCGTGTGTTGCAGACACCAAGCTCGCTTCGGCTCTAGGGTTTCATTTCGAAACCCTAATTGCGGTCCTCGCTTTCCGCCGGTGTCCGATTTTGCGAGATTGAATTGGGGCGGCTCGTGGTCCCGGGTCAATCAGAGAAGGACGGTGGTTAGGGCTTCCAGTTGGGACCATCCCAAATCTCCCTACGAAACTCTTGGTAATTGGATAAAGCTTCAACCTTTGATTTTAAAAAAAAAAAATCTGGAATTTGTAACATATTTATTGTCTTTAACTTTCTAATTTTTGGATTTTGTTTTTTGAAAATCAGAATTAGAGAGGGACGCTGACGATGACCAGATAAAGATTGCTTACAGACGGTTGGCCAAGTTTTATCATCCAGATGGTATGCTCCCTTGTCTTGTTTCGAAATTCTTTTCGAATTTTTCGATTTCATATCTGTAATTTGCTACTTTGCTAGTGGTGTTATGTGTTAATCACAAATCAAAAGAAATACTTTGTAAGAAGATAATGTATGTAAACAATTGTTGGTTTAATATGGTGAAACCCTTCAGTAAAATCGTCATTAATTTCAACTTGAAGAATCTTTGCAATTTGTGTGCAACAAAGTTATTGTGCAAAAGGGCTTATGACATTGGAAGTTGTTTTTATTCCTTACGGCTGCGTTTGAGGCCTAGATTTGGAATTGGATAACTGACTAGAGTAAGAAACGAAGGCCATTCCAAATTTTGTCCAAGTTGAAGGAGGATAAGGTTTCTGACTAATCTATCTAATTCTTTCAACTTGTTCAAATTTTGAAGTTGGCATCCATTTCTTCCCTCATATTCCTCGAATCCAATTCTAGTCTCCAAGAGTGGTTTAATTTTCATGTGATTTTTTTTTAAAAAAAAAAAACTGATATCAGGCATATTGCTTATCGTCTTTCCTTGTGTGTTAGATTGCTGCATGTATTGGTTTCTAGGTGTAAAAAAGTTAGATTATCAGTAAATGTGCTCTTCCTAATATTTTGTGCCATTTCCTATGGTCTATTAGCTTTTGCTTGAACGTTCAAAATTGATTTCTTTCCGTTTTCAAGTCTATGATGGTAGAGGGACTCTAGAGGAGGGGGAAACAGCTGAAGCTAGATTTATTAAGATTCAAGCTGCTTATGAGTTGCTCATGGATGACGAGAAGAGGGAACAATATGATAGGGATAACCGACTCAACCCAATGAAAGTAAGATTTGTAGTTTGCATATAAGTTGCCTTGTAGTTTCTTGCTTATATTTTTAGGATAGATACAGGAAAATGTAGAGTAGATTCATGATTTGTAAACAGATCAGCTTGTATGTTTTTTTAGTAACGGAATCTTTGTGTGCACTGTTATATCAGGCATCTCAAGCATGGATGGAGTGGCTAATAAAGAAGCGAAAAGCTTTTGATCAGCGAGGTGATATGGCAATAGCTGCTTGGCAAGAGCAACAGCAGCGTGAGATGAATATTCGTGCACGTCGACTTTCTCGTTCCAAGGTATAGAATCATTCTCCTAGTACACGAATCAGCTGTGAAGAATAGTTTCGGTAGTCGGAAATAAAAATGGAATTTCTGTATTCAAACGGTTTGATAAATGCTGCAAAGCTCTGCCCTTTGCCGGATGCGCAAAACATCGACGGCGATCTGTACTCTTATCATTACTGATCAAACACTATGTTCAGAAGCTCGTGCTTCTCTCTGTGATCTATTGTTTGAAATTATAGTAAAGCTTTTGTGTTCTTTTGTTTTGGCTGCGTTTCTCGTCTTATGGCCTAAGATCAATGTATTTGACATCCAGGTTGACCCAGATGAAGAGAAGAGAATCCTGGCAAGAGAAAAAAAGGCCTCGGCAGAGTATTTCTCCAGTACCCTCAAGCGACACACACTAGTCTTAAAGAAAAGGGACCTAATGCGAAAGAAAGCAGAGGAAGACAAGAAAAAGCTCATCGGTCAGCTTTTAGCCGCGGAGGGACTTGAGCTTGACACACAGGACGAAGAAAAACGGTAGAGCAAGATTTCCTCTTTGGCTTCTGACAGTGTAATTTGTACTATAGAATACACTTTGTAACGGCCGCTGAAGACAAATCCGTCCGTACTTATATTCAACAACGAGAGAAAAATTAATCTGTATATATCTTTCGTTGAAGAAATTTATAGAAATTAATGAAAAAAATCCCATTTAATTATATCAGTGCATCCGTTCTCGTGCACCTGTGTTGATATGCTTCAAATAGATCTATCAAAAGTTCACCAGGTCTCTGCATCAAGAGTACAAGTAATTTGATTGCTTTGAAGAGCAAATTTGTTCTGCAATCTTTTGCTCGAACGTAGTACGCTGACATAAACAGCTACATTCTACGCTGACATAAAACAGCTACCTTGAACAGAATAGGAACTGTTTGTTGCACTGGTCCGCTGTCGGATGAAATCAAGCACACTTACCATAAATCAGGATTCTCGAGATAAGCCGAATGTCTTCCCACGATAAGGTCAATAAGCGGTTTCTCCACATCATCAACACCCAGAGACTGGTTTCGGCGAACTGATATCTTTTCATTGCGTCTGACAACTACAACCTCTTCCTTGCGGGTTGAAAGCTCATTTGCTACAACCATATGCACCTTGTACTTCTTAAGAGCCATATCAGCCTTCTCCAAAAGAATCTTCGAATCCGTCTCTAGCTGTTTAGGCAAGCATGTCAAAGGTTTTTAACTCCAAAAAGTAATACTGCATCTTGTAATCTGTCAAAAACTTTTAGCAGATGAAAATTATATGACAAAGCTAAAAGGGTAAGGGGTATGATTTTGATTATTTAGAGGTACACATATATGACTGCATCATGCATGTCGAGGAAGATCTGTTAAACGAAAAGCCCCTACCAGAAATATGTCATTTTCAGGTTACTGCTACCCAGCCACGCCCTCAACCCTTCTCGACCAAAAAAAAAAAAAAAATCTCATATAGATAGTCTATGGATGCAAGTAAAAAATAGCTCTTCCGCTAAAGTGCAGCAAGTGAACTAATGAATGGAAATGCCAGTAATTAGAAATAAGCAGAAGCTTCTATCTAACCTTAAATGATATACAGAAGGCCGTTGGCGCCCAGTCTTTCCTCAGCACTAATAGCATCTTTGGCACCTGAACAAGTCGCATGTCCAATGGACCAGATCCTGACTGAATTTTGTGTTCTGCCTGCACAATCATGCTTTGCTAAGAAGTGGTGCAGCTAATGCTTAGACTTGGATGAAACTTATACGCGACACAAGATGGAGTATTATGATTCTTTTTCCTTAATTTCATAAGCAACTTTCGGACCACTGATCTCCTTATATAACAGTTTTTTCATTCAAACAAGCGATTAATTAAACATCCAGGATTCACATGTCAACCCATTCCTATATATTCAGAGGAATATTGTGATCATAAACATGTCCTGTATAAATTTGCAAAGGACTGGATTATGTTATCTAACTGCAGAGATTCATATATAAGCCCTTAAAGAAATGCTACCAAGCTTCCAAAATTCACAATCAAGTCATTTCTACGCATTTCAAATTTCTAAAAGGGGTAGCTTTTGTCATCTGTCGATTGGGTTACAGAATGCAGCCAGAGCAAGTATGACATAACTTTTCAATATATTAAACCATTACCATGCTTTTCCAAGGAACATAAAAGTCAGACACTGCAGCTGCAAGGTAAAGAATTGCATGTGGCCCGAGACTTCTTATTGAAAAAGCAATCATCTGCAACATCTGCCCAAAATGCAAAGACAGATTAGTCAAGCATAGGAGGATAACTGTTATATCTAAAACAACCAGACACTCAAATATGGCTGTGAAGGGAAGTTAATAACCAACTGAAGCGAACCTGAAGATACTCAAATATGGTTGTGAAGGGAAGTTTTAACAAGAGGCCTCCTGTTACTGCCTGCAACAGAATAAATCCCCACATATAAAGGAAGTAAAATATGCAATAAGTAAATACATATAATACTCAATGAAAGATAAATATAAGTGGTCGTACAGCATGACTTTCAGTGATGGCATTCCTCACTGCTTCCGAATGTGACTGGCACACTGGAAATATAATACAAGATTTAGTCATCTCAATAAGGACTGTCAAAGATATGTATAATATTGTCAGATTTAACTTTCGACATCACCACAAAGCTGCAAATAAAACTTCAAAAATTCCTGTCTCCCATCTCCCCAAAACCCAATCATCAAGCACAAAACCAACTCTGATAATTAACTCTACAATCAAATCCTATAATAGCATACAAAAATCTAATATCATAGTTACTCACACAAACATGTCAAAACAAATGGAAACATCAATGTAGCTGACAAGCAGAAAGTTTGACATCTCTATTACTAATGCAGACAAAAACAGCTTGGTTTTCCTCTGATAATTGAGTTCTTGTTTTTTAAATTTTTCCTCAAGAACAGCCTCAAAAGCTAGAGTCTTCAGGGCTTAATTACTCTAACCTTTTGGATATAACCTTCCAGCCTGCTTTCTAAGCTGAGTTCAATCAGCCTACTCTATGATACGAGACCAATCACACTCTTCTTTTGGGTATAGTCACTCATCTAAGAGTTTTAATGACTTAGCACTACGCGCATGTATGCCTAGGCATTTTAATCAAGCCACTAGCATCTTACGGAACTTTAACCTGCACATTGCGGTTGGCTCTAATTCCAATAGTCAAGAATCAACCAGTACTCAAAAGCTATTGCCATCAAGGAGTCAAAAGCTTATTACATTGCCTTTAAGGTTTGTAAGAGACTCATTGTTAGCTAGGGCATCAATATTACTTATTTGAGAAATGTAATTAAATATCCATTGCACAATGACTGTGTTTCTATCTCATGCCTTTTCTCAAGGTAGAAGTAATTTGTTGCTAATGTACTGGTATTCAAGAAGTTAAGTATCATTCTTGATCCCTAAACTAGAGAGAAGGAAACATAAGTTTCTCTCCCGTCATCCATGTCCATTTTTTGTTCTACATAGAAAGAGAAAAGACACATATAATCATTTTGCAAACACTAACTACAAACCGTTAATATTTGAGTCATCCGTATATTCAAAACATTCAAGCAAAGGATCAGCGGGAAGTGATCTGCAATATGGCTGGCAAGTACCCCTGCATAACATTGTGGAATAATCCAAAAAGTTTAGTTACAATTCTCTTCTATCGTGTTAAATTGTTGAAATGACCAAATGATATGTAAAATGGTAGAATCAGAAATTACCTTCGATATAGAAAAATAACAGCATAACCTGCCTTCAAAAAGTACCTGCAACGTTACAGATAAGTCTAATCCATAAGTCAGTATTACTAAAGAATGCATACTTATTGATTTGCAGAGTGATATACTCTGTGGATGCTGCTCCCCTGTGACCTGAGCTGAAGTTGTCGATGTAGCGAACACATCGTTGCTCCAGAGGAATGGTGGTGCCACCTGATGTCACACACACAACCCTCCTAGCTCCTCCACTTCCTACATCACATTTCAAATCAATCAAAATCCACTTAACCATACTCTATCACCCAGAAAAAGAAACGACAAATATAAATGCGACAAATCAAAAGGTAAACATACCAGAAGGTGTCGAATTCTTCTTCACAAATCCCTCAAGCTTTCCAATGATATCATCACTGTTCTTCAAAGGAGGAGCTGAGTCGAAAAATGACTTGATTTCAGCATCCGGTATTTCTTTTTGAGCTTCCAACCCTTTTGATAAAGCCATTTGAGGTTGCCCTACAGCCAATTCCTTGTCAAAACCCACAAAAAACCCTCAATTTTCACATAAACATAATTAATAACCATATATAAGTAGGAAAAGGACTAAAAGATCAGATTTTTATCATGTTAGAAATGATACGGAATAAAACCCATTGTTTTCAGATAAATATTGACCACACAAAGTGTTAAAAAAAAAAAACCCAAGGATCATGAGTTAGGTGACTGTAAATTGGGGAAAATATACCCCTTAAATTCCCAAAGGCCACATATGTATGATGGGATTTCAAACCAGAACTTCACTACAAATCAGAAAAAATAAAAAATTAGTCATGAAATTCCACAATATATTTGAATTGAGAGCAAATTCAAAATTCGAAAGCAGAGCAATGATCCAAATTCGAAAATTTCCCAAAACGAAAACTACCTGCAGTGAGAGAGCTGAGAGCAGCTGCTGAAAATCGAATCGAAGTGGGTTTGTCTTTTGGTTCTGTGATTCAATATTCTGGGAAGTATCGAACGGTGAAACGTTTCGTAGCCGTTGATTCCCGCGAAAATATAAAGGATAAAAACAAAGTTTTTTAACTTTTTAACGACCTCTCAACTGTTTTTTTTTTTTTTTGTTTACAGTAGAGGGTAAAATATCCAAGGTCAATGTGATGAAAATTAAATAAAAATTAAACAGCACCACAATTAAATAAAAAATAAAAATAAACCGAAGAAACCTGAAATTGAAGTTGCGGTGTTCGGATGTTTCTTGGGGGCAGAGGGACACGAGCTTGATTTTGTTAGGCCATCTCCAATCTTGCTGAGAGTTCATTTTAGCCCTTTTTAAAAAAATTAATATTTTAATAAACAGTGTATGATCATATTTTTTACCATCTCCAACCGAGGAATCAGAGGGCCATATGCCAAACATAGCCCTGTGACAAAAAATCATTTCTAATCGAGGCTACAGGGCCAAATATAATTTATTATTTAATTTAAAAACTACAACTAAAATTTAAAAAATACAACTTATATATTTCAAGTCAAATGTAAGAGGTTTTATTTAGAGTATAAAAAATAAAAAAATAAAAAAGGAAGTGGGTGGGAGAGTCCCACATCAGCTGTCGGAGAGAAAGTATAAAAAAAAAACTAAAAAAAAAATGGAAGTGGGTGGGAGTCGCACATCTGCTGTGAGAGAGATTTGAGCAAGTACTAAAGCCTGTAAAAAGAACACTCAAACATTCAACTAAACATACTTTTTGGGCCTATAATTAAATATTTTTAAAAAAAATTTGGTCCAAAAAAAATAAATTCAAATAACGATAACTGATGTCAGCTAGTTGTTGGTTTCAAATTTATGGCCTTGCCCGGGGCTAGTTGGCTAGCTCCTTTGGGCCAGCTGGTTGGCCATTTTTTGTCTCGTGAGGTCCACGAGCCCTTTGGCTTGGCCCTCAGTTGGAGACAATTTTTGGGCTATTTATTTAACTCTCTGGACCATTCGGTTAGAGATGGTCTTATGGTGTTGGCTGGATGTGTGAGTGTGACCAGAGTTGTTGTAGTAAAATGGTCCAAAAGTAATTTAGTGGTATTCTTCTTAATAGTATGATTAGATGGTATTTCTCTTTACTATAAGTGAGAAATCAAGACAGGTGGCCTAATGGAAAAGTGCGAACCACAAGTCCCTAAAGAAAAAGGTTATAAGTTCGATACTTTGTAAGTTGTAAATCTACTTGATCGTGGCCACAAGTAGAGTGCAATTCCGAACTTGATTCTTTCAAACCCAAAAATGGTGAATAATCATGATTCCCTACCAATTGTCTCTTTGTTTAGAAAAAACAAAAATAATTTAGTTGAGTAAGTTTTTTCAATTTTTTTTTAATACACACTAATATTTATTGAATAAACTTGTACTTACACTCTAGAGTACATCAAAGACCTCAAAAATTGTAAAAGGAAAAAAGCATGGGACACTGTTCACCACCCTAAAACTTTGGTGTGTACTCACCATATACCTAATCATTTGTCACACATCATTTCAATTAACATTGGTTAATTTTTTCAAAATTGCAAAAGTAATATTTAATGTGAAAGTTAACTAGAGTTAAGTGAAATGACATCTGACAAATAATTAAATGTATGATAAGCATACACTATAGTTATGACAGTGGGCAAAAATGCTCCAACTTTTTAAACATAAGGTTTGATGCGGTACTGGGTGTATGAGTGTGAGTTGTTGTAGTAAAGTAGTCCAAAAATAATTTATTGGTATTCCTCTTAATACTACAATTTGTATTTTTCTTTACTTATAAGTGAGAAACCACGATAAGTGGCCCAATGGTAAAGCGTGAGCAACTGCTTCCTAAAGAAAAAAAAAAAAGGTATTGAGTTCGATACGTTGCAAGACCTAAAAAGGGTGAATAATCATAATACGCCATTAGTTGTTTTCCTTTTAAAAAAAAACAAAAAGAATTAGTTGAGTAAGGTTTTTTTCTATTTAGTTTAACACAGACTAATATTTATTGATTAGACCTATAGTTACATTGAAAACGTCTCCAATACATCAAAGACACCAAAAACTCTAAAAGGAAAAAAGAACAGGACATTCCTAAGTGGTACATGCTGACTTTGGATGAAATGAGGGTTTAGGCTAAGTGGTAAATGCTGAACTCAATACCAAATTAGGCTGTTCATTTTGTGGTTTAACCTAATTCTTCCTCTTTTTAGTTAAAAATATCTATGTACTAAAAATAAAAATAAAATTGGATGAAATGAGTAGAAATTAGACATTAAGGGTGCATTTGTTGTACCGGATTATCTCAGACTGGACTAGCTTCAAGGATTAAGCTGGATTGGCTTAGACTGGACTAAGCTGGATTGGCTTAGACTGGACTAAGCTGGACTGACTTAGTGAAGCGTTTGATGTAGTGTCGGACTAAGAAGTAGAATAATGAAAATAGTTTCATTTTTTTGACCAAATAAAAAAGTTCCATTTTAATTCCTTTTATATTAAGATTATTAATAATTTACCAAAAACAACACTCAAACTCCAAGGCTCTGCATCTGCATCCAAAGCCTTGCATCTGCATCAAATTGTTGACTTGATAGGAAATAGACGAGCATCACATGCTGGGGCACACAATTCTTTGTCTTTAATACTACTTTCCAATCACAAATTGCACCTAATTATCGTTTTACTTTTCTCACAGGACAACTAATTACCATTTTACTTGGCTCACATTCAGAAGCTTCTTGGATGCTGCCTCCTTCATGGAGTTAACCACAACATCATGAACCTGAAAAACTTTAATACGACAAGCATTGAAATGCATGGAGAACTCACTGCAACAAACCGATAATAAATATTCAAAAACAAACAGCGGAAAGCCCATTTGTTCCACAACGTTTGAAAAACATGTAAAATGTAGGATCTAAGAACATTGTTGCCATCTCTCTGTCGTTCCTACTCGAGTGCACATTATACACCACCCTTCCTTACAAGAACATTATGCAATCAGTAAACCATATATGTGGAGCCAAAAATAATCAAGAGGCGACATGTGGATTTTTAGGTGAAGAGGACAAAATTACCCTTGAAACACACCGGGTTTCCTACACGCGAGAGGCGGAGAATCATCCATCAACCGAGTCAAGAGTGCCCAAAATAGGTAACAAGTTCAAAATCCATCTTCTCAAATCCCTTCTACCAGGTAACTCTCATAACCTATTTCATTCCATATATTTTTACCTTTTTTTCCCTCTTTTAGCTAATCAATTAGCTATCATTCCATAACTTGCAAAATATTCCACATAAATTACATAACCTCCAAAATATTCATTCCAAAAATGTGTTAATTGGCTAATTAATGTATTAATTACCTAATTAATCCATTAATTGCCAAATAACTCACACATTAAACCACAAAATAATTAATCCATTAATTGCCAAATAACGCACACATTAAACCACAAAATGCACACAAAAAGCATCCCAAAGGCCGGCCACCTTTTCTCCAAAGGGGACCGACCATGCCCTATATACACTACCCATTTTTCTCTAAAAACCTAGTTCCACACTTTTGTAAAACTCCAAAAACTCTCCAAACACTTTTTCTCTCTAAATTCTAACTTTGGCATCGGAGGTTCTTCGGCCAAAGCCCCCCGCCATTCATCGTGGGCGTGTGAGACTCTTGGCCTTGACCTAAGGTGTTAATTGTTTTGTAGGTGCAATTTTGTCCAAGATCAAGAAGGCGGAAATTTGCATCCACAAATTGGTGTTTTCATTGAGAGTTGAAGTACACACACTCGTAGAAGACTCTCGCATAAAAGGTTTTTCTCTATTTTTTCTTGTCCGTTTTTATATTTTCGTACGTTCTTATTATTAGAATTTTTTATTTGCAAAGATTCTTTGATAAAATGTAAAAAAGAAATACAATGGCTAGAGATTTAGAAAATTCTGCAAGTGAAAATTCCAATATTCAAGAAATGGGACCGCGGCGATCCACGAGGCTAAATGTAATCATAGGTGGAGCGGCACCACCATGGCAACCACCGCGGTGGCCACCACGGCCACCACCCATGGTGAGGTCCATGGCACCACTACCACGACCCAAGCCATACCATCCAAGCTTGCAAAGGCCACAACCCAAGCCATGTCACTCCAAGCCCAACGTGAGCCCAATGCATTGCCAAGCGGAGCTTAAGCCTCGCATTCGCATGCATCATGCACTGAGTAGTCTGCTCTCATGGCCAAGCGTGCTCTCGCAACCCAGCTTACTCCTGCAGCCCAGCCTACTCTAATGGCTCCCACCGAGCAGCCCACTCTTATGGCCCAGCCTGCTCCCGTGGCCTCCCAAACAGCCCAAGTCAGCCCAAGACTATCCCAACCATCCGGACCTACCATTAAGCCGGGGGCATTTTCACCACATTTCTTCGCGAATTTGACATTTCCCAACTTAAATCTTGCGCCCATTGCCTACCACATTTCCACTGCTCAAGGAGGCACATTCCTTCCAAGCTCTTCCAATCCAAATGGCGAACAACACTTGTCTCGACAAGTCATAGAGTTGACAAGCGCACTTGCACAACAGACAACCTTGGTGAATCAACTCTTGCAACACACCGAGATCTAACATGCCCCGGACGAGGTGTCCTGAAGTAGGACAAGGGCAGATGAACCTCTCCACCAGCGTCCAGGCAAGCAGCCCATCAACGAGCAATTTCTGAGCGTTCTAGCAGTTTACCCTCCCGCTTGGGTCCTTGGGATAGCATATATTCTCGTCTTAGCGTACGGATGAGAGTATATTCCTGATCAAGCCCATGGACAAGCATACGTTCACGGTTGAGGTCACACTCCAATTATTAACATGGATAACCTTCCAGGCGAAGTGTTCATTCACAACTAGGCTCGCAAGGAGTATTTACCACCTCACATTGGAGTAGGCAGCACAGCAGTTGGAGAGAAGCAGTCGCTCAATCAGACTCAAGTTCAACCGGTAGCCTACGAGCAGCCCGTTCGCCTGCCAGGAACATGCCACATGCACCACAGCCGCGACATAAATGAGTCGAGCATAGGGAAAAGCAGCCCAAACCTATAGGTCACGACCGGGGGCAACCGAAAGTTCCACTGCCCCAACAGAGGCAAATTCAAGAAGAAGTTGAGAAGATCTTAAAAGAACGATTGCGTAATTTCCAACGTAACGAGGCTGCTGACGATGAGCTTCGACGAGACATGACCAACATAAGCATGTCACCATTCACGAATGAGATCGAGTAGACAGATCCACCTCGCGGGTTCACTATACCTCACTTCATTCCGTACAAAGAAGACGAAGATCCAGATCGACATCTCAAGCACTACCGCAGTACTACAATCCTTTACAGGAACAACAATGCGTTTATGTGCAAAATTTTTACCACAACTCTACAAGACGAGGCGCAAGATTGGTTTCACACTCTACCGCCACAATCAATCTGGAGTTTCAACGAACTTTCCTTTGTTTTCACTAAGGAGTATTCGGCTAACCACTCAATCAAAAGAACATCCGACCATCTCTTCAGCATTGTAAAAGACCCTTGGGAGACAATTCATGATTATGTCAAGAGGTTCAAAGCAGAGAAAGCCAAGATTGTTGGCTGCAACGAAGATATAGCAACAGCAGCATTCAGAAATGGGCTTCCTACCGAACATGCTTTATTTGAAAATTTGATCATGGGAGAAGAACTGACCCTAGCAGCTTCGTATACTTTGGCAGAAAAGCATGCACTATGGGACAAGGCTAAGCAGTCTAACAAAAACGAGTCAGAAAAGAAGCACATGGAACATTCCCGGACCAGAGAAGACTCAGCGCCCGAAACATTCACAAAGTTCACAGTTCCAATCGGCCAAATTCTCTGCAAGCTCAAGAATAGAACTGCTGTCACCCATGAAAGGCAATCTTACCAAGCTGGATCATACAAAGTATTGCGCATTCCATCAAGGACCAGGCCACACTACCAAGGGCTGCCTGAAGTGGAAGCAGTACCTTGAGAAGCTGACAAATGAGGGCCGATGTGACGAGTATCTTGACAGGTCAACAAAACGGCCTACATAAGCAAGGGAAGTCTTCATCATCCCCTAAACCTCGTTTGATTTTTTTTTTTCCAAATAAGTTCGAATTCTTAAGCAGCTCGACGAATAAGGCTTCACAAGCTGAAGATTATCCAGTTTGTTATGCAGTTTCTACATTCCGGCACAGTTGATTTATTTTTTTATTCTCAATGAAGATTCAAGAAGTTATTCATAAGCCTGGCTCAACTGCTACTAAAAACCCTTTATGGGTCTGTTCTCCAATGCGAGAGGATAAACTAATTGCTCTCCAATGCGAGAAGGTAAACCAATTCCCCGACATCCGTATAGGTCTGCTCTCCAGTGCAAGAGGGTATACCAATTCCCCGACACCCGTATGGGTCTGCTCTCCAATGCGAGAGGATAAACAGTGCGAGAAGGTAAACCAATTCCCCGATACCCGTATGAGTCTACTCTCCAGTGTGATGGGATAAACTAATTGCTCTCCAGTGCGAGAGGGTAAACTAATTACTCTTCAGTGCGAGAGGGTAAACTAATTCCCCGACACCCATCTGGGTAAGCTCTCCAGTGCGAGAAGGCCACATAGCTTAAAAGATCAAATGCTTAAAGATCAATTAAGCAGCAAATAGTCAATGGGCAGCAACCACTTTTGCATTTAACAGTTCACTCATCTGACACTTCATCTTCAGCAGCTCTGATCTTAGCAACTTTATCCTTGACTGCTCCATCTACGGCAGCTGAGAAATCAAATTCAAGCAGTTTCCTCATTTTTCGCAAGCAGCCCAGACATGGCAGCCCAAACCGTTGCCCATGCCACGACACTTCCTCGGCCCATACCGAGCCAATCCTTGGTTTTAATCAAGCCGAGCAGCATAAGCAATGGCCCCTGCCACACCACCTTCTTGGCCCATGACAAGACCGACTTCTGGCCCCTACCAGCCGACATGCCGCACCACCCCGACGGCTGCCTTGTGGCAGCACCTCCCAAGAAGAAGACAAGGAGAATTAAATTTTTCTTACATCGGTGTGGCATGGAGAAGACAAAGAAAGCAACGAAAGACGGTCCTTTGCACGGGCAAGTGTAGAAGATTACTAGGGGAGGGGGAACAAATATCCTCTACGCTTTCTCTCTCTTGTAGGGTAGAATAAATCGCTCTCTAAAGTTGATTTAACAACCTACTTAAGGTGGACTTAAATAGGCTTTGAGAGAAATTTAGTTCCCTTTCCTAGAAAGATCTAATTTCATATTAAAAAGGAAATCTACATCAAAATAAGAAGCAGTCCTAAGTTTCATAAAGCAAGAAGATCTCTACACCTGCTGCCCTTTCCTACGAGCAGCTTAGCAGGTGTGGGGGCATTTGTAGAGCCAAAAATAATCAAGAGGTGACACGTGGATTTTTAGGTGAAGAGGACAAAATTACCCTTGAGACACACCGAATTTCCTATACGCGAGCAGTGGAGAATCATCCATCAACCGAGTCAAGAGTGCCCAAAATAGGTAACAAGTTCAAAATCCATCTCCTCAAATCCCTTCTACAAGGTAACTCCCAAAACCTATTTCATTCCATATATTTTTACCTTTTTTTCCCTCTTTTAGCTAATCAATTAGCTATCATTCCATAACTTACAAAATATTCCACATAAATTACATAACCTCCAAAATATTCATTCCCAAAATGTGTTAATTGGCTAATTAATGGATTAATTACCTAATTAATCCATTAATTGCCAAATAACTCACACATTAAACCACAAAATGCACACAAAAGGCATCCCAAAGGTCAGCCACCTTTTCTCCAAAGAGGACCGGCCATGCCCTATAAATACTACCCATTTTTCTCTAAAAACCTAGTTCCACACTCTTGTAAAACTCCAAAACTCTCCAAACACTTTCTCTCTAAATTCTAACTTTGGCATTGGAGGTTCTTTGGCCAAAGCCCCCCCCCCCAATTCATCGTGGGTGCGTGAGGCTCTTGGCCTTGACCTAAGGTGTTATTGTTTTGTAGGTGCAATTTTGTCCAAGATCAAGAAGGCAGAAATTTGCATCCACAATATACAATCCCAATTTACTCTCTTTTTAGAAAACCATATATTTTGATTATTTTCCATTGGAATTTCCTAATTTTTTATGACACTAATGAGCAACAACATAGCACCAAGCAACCCATGTGAAAAAATTAAAAAATTGAAGGGAAAAAAAAAAGGCAATTGTCTTTACCTGATGGCAGAGGTTGCAGAAGAATAAGAAACTTAGAGAGGATTGAGCAGTTTTCTTCAAGGATTTGATCGGAAAAAAATTATCAGCATGTTAGAAATGGTAGGGGAGACCAAATCGGGAGTGGCTATTGGAGGCCTTGATGCGTTGTGGGCTGAAGCGTTGGGAATTGAAGCTTGCAAGGGTTTGGCATCCATAGCGGTCACGACGATGCTCGAAGCAAATCGCTGCCACGATGCCCATTTCCTCCCAACGATCTGCAAATCGAAGCAAATTCATTCGAGATCCAAAAGAACGAAGCCTAGAACTCGCAAAGGGGCGAAGCAAAGAGGAGGAAGAAGATGAAAAAGGATGTAGGAACGAAGAAGAAAAAGTAGGGGTGAAGCGAAAGGGGCTAACAGAGATGGTCTTAGCGAGTCCCGTGGTTTGTGGAGGGTTTCACTAAGAACTTCTAGCGAGGCCTCTAGTCCACGTGAGTATCCTTTAGTCCCCTTTAATTTAGTCCCAATACAAAGTTACAAACCAAACATAGAACTACATTAGTAAGTAGTCCAATCCAGTTCAGTCCCAGTTAACGAGGCCAAACAAACGCACCCTAAAGAGAATTGGCAATTTTTCAAAGTTTGAGTCCTAATTATTTCCAAAGAAAAACATATTAAGGGCGAATAATGTTCATAACTTTCTCAAGTACAGACTTTTGTCATATTCTTTAGATGTTTTATGTAAAATTATATATAGTACACAAGATAGCATAAAATCTATTTAAAATTCAAACGTGAATATCAAGAATTAAAATTTAAAAACATATTATCTTTGATAAGAGTGAACAATTTTGAAAAATCGTCTAGCTTGTGCTTCTCTAGAAAGTGTGTGTTTATTTTTATTTATATATATATCAAATAGCATCGTAAAACACTAATTCTTGTAGAATAACAATTTAAAAGATTTAGGAGAATGCAACTAATTATATCATGGAAATTGGGGAAAACAAAGAATGTGGGGAGTTTTTACTTATTTTTATAGTACCAACCAAAATAAATAACAAAAAAATTAAACCGGTACAGGGTATTGAACTCGACGTGAATCAAACACGCAACCTTCTGATCTGGAGTCAGACGCGCTACCATTGCGCCACGGATCCGGTTATTAATAATCTCTTATTAATATGTAAAATCCTAAGTTTAAATCTGCTGGGCGACGTTGTTTCAACTCTTTAAGCACGCTATAAAAAGGGTTTAGAGAGCCTTTCCGCCAGAGCCTCAACCGCATAACAGCTGGAAACCACTGAGTCGTCTTCTCCAAGAAAACCCCAATACCCCATATCCTCACATTCTTGCTGAGAGAAAGAGAGCAACCAACAATGGTCACCAACTGACCCAAGCTTCAGACCCAGATCGACATTAAGCCTCATCAACTCCCGAAACTCTCCAAGAACCCAAGCTCTTTTTCTTCACCTCCCGCAACTGACGTTGAGCCGACACTTGGCTAATTTCTCTCTTTGTGATCCTCCACATCGTGGCCTTCCGTACACGAACACCTTTCAAGCTTAGGTGAATGGCTTGTGCAGTGTGATATGCTCATAAAAACTGTCACTCTTGGTGACTATTGCAACAGCATAGAGAGAAAGACACAAACTCAGCATCAATGCTGTGTTAATAGCTGTCGAGTTGTATAGAAGAGAAAGGTGGATATGGTCTCTCACTTTTGCAGTGTAAAATTAAATTTGCAAAAAAACTTGTAAAAAGGCTCGTCATGAGGTATAGATACAACGGTCTCTCTTTGTATGGATATTGTAGATGCAAATTTCCGCCGTCTTCAGTCTTGACGAAAGTGCACCTGCAAAACAATCAACGCCTTTGATTAAAGACCTAAGCCTCACGTGCCCATGAGGTGGGGGAGGGGGGGTTTAGGCCTATGGATCTTCGATGCCTAAGTCAGTTTCTCTAAGAGAGTAAAGTGTTTAGGGTTTTTTAGGGGTAGCAAAAGCTCTGAAAATTTGATAGAATATGGGGTATTTATAAGGATAGGGTCGGCCACAATGTTAGAGTTTTACCCTACACGTGACGGCATCCTATTGGCCAAGGTGTTTATGGAGAAATATTCTCAAAATATTCTCAAGATATTAAATAGGAAATAATATCTTGAGATAATGGTGTAATTATCCCTAATTTATTTAAACTGGAATTACGTACTTGATTGGAGTCAATCTTCAATTGGGAATGTATTAAAGATAGGATTTCGGTAATTAATCCTTATCTTTAATTCCTTGCCAAGGGTAGGTGAGCTGTGGGCAGTCGTATTCAGCTGCTAAGACCTTAAGGGGTGTGAGCTGCACGTGGAAGCATCTAGGAAGCCTGCCTATTTATTTGAGGGCAATCTTGTCTTTCTTGAATAAAAGTCCAGGTGTCGGCTCTAGAACTTTTGGGATTATTTTAGGCTCCACAAATGCCCCTACACCTACTGGGCTGCACATAGGAAAATGATAGTAGGTGTAGGAATCCCAAGCTGCTTAGGCTTGTAGAATTGTTTCCCAATTTGAACTTGATCTTTTTTCTTGATTTGGAGATAGACTTCTTCTAGGAAAGGGGAACCAATTGCCCCCAATACCTATTTAATTCTGCCTTAAGCAGTAGATTAAATAAATTTGGAGAGCAATCATTATTCTAACAAGGAAGAGAAGCCAGAGGAAATTTTTTCTTCCCCCTCCCTTAGTGTTCTTCTTCTTTTGCCTTGCAAAGAGTCGTCT